AAATCACACTAAAGAAGTAGCTGTAATTTTACTATTTAACCTATGTCTATTGTACAAAATGAATTATTAAAGTATATTAAAATTACATTAACTTTTCGAGGTGACAGTTAATGGCACCCTTGCAACAGAAGTGACACAACTCAAAAACTTTAGCATCTAAAAAAAACAGAAAAAATTATCACAAATTTCTCATTCCGAACAGTAAACATGACGTAATTGCTGTCTGTTAACCAACTTATGAAGCTAAAAAAATGAACACATTTAATGATTGATCGAACAGTGTTTCTGAAACTTCGTCACAGTAATAACTCGAAAAACACATGTCAATTTTGTAGCAACAGTGCGATATGTGTGAAATTCAGGGATACGACATTACGCTCTCTCTATAAACACATCCCTCGGATCCACTAGGTATATTTGCGGACAGATGTATGTTAAATTTCGTTGGATGACAGGTCGTTTCAATCATAGCGACAGTGCAAGCCAGGAGGTGCGCAAACAATGCGTTCCAGTGCGGAATATCTGAAGTATTATCTGTCTCGATCCATTTTTCAAGCACTCATATTCTCTCTCTTATCCGCTCTGCAGCATGCAAGAGTGGTCCACAGAAGAAAGCCATATTTGGCTGTAAATTCGACTGGGAGGTACGAAAAGACAGCCTGCATCTCATAATTTCGAGAAGTAGTGGGGATATTACGGTTCTCTGACAGAATGGCGGAACGTGTTTATGAAGAACCCATATTGAAAATAAGAATCATGTTTACAACGCATATTTATTAACTCTATATTACTTATTTAACACGTTCAGCGCTGTGTCGGTCACCGGTATTACAATAAATTAACTTTCGACGATAAACTTTCTGCTCGGGTCGTGTCGAGCATCAGTGACTCACGCCATAAAATATAAAAAAAGGCATTGAAAAATAAAAATAATACAGTATTATAATTAATTATATAATTTTTTACGTTTACTTGTATTATCACTTATATTAGTTGTATTACACTTCGTGAACAGAAAAGTTAACAATAACAATTCAGCGTTCAGCATGTTAAACAAGTGTTAAACACAGTTAATATTCAATCCATCAATTTTATTCTTACCTCCTGTACAGGAAATTGAAATTTCTAACGCCATATTTTCTCTAATGATCTTCCACGAATTCGAAATTTTGAGAAAACTGAATAAAAGAATCTCGAATCCTTAGGTCAATAGAATCTACCAATTACCATAGAAAATACCAAATTACAGTATACTCGATGTTCCAAATGTTCACAGAGTTTCCTACATCCGCACTTGCATAAAATTTTACATCTTCTCGACGTCATTTTGCCACGTACGGTCTTTCAGTGGAAAAGAAGATTGGAGATCTTCGGGGTCGCCAACTTTTATCGTTTTTGTGAGGCTCGAAAGCTGTTTCTTTGGGGTGTTCGAATTTCGAGCCGATGATTTTCGCGACATATAATTCGCGACAGATCGTCCTATCGCGTAATCGCGACATTATGTCACGCGGACGAACACGATTCCAGCTCCAAGCTTGCACGTTACGTCACTACGACGGCTGAGAACGGGCGCTCGCTGAGAGACCTTTACATATTTGGAAGATCGTTCGCCGGTCGAGGTCAACATGCAAAAATGAAAATCAGCCGCGATAAGACCGGAGAAAATAGTCTGCAATGATGAATCCATATGCAGACATCGGCTTTTCACGTGAATTACTGTTTTTTGAAGTATTTTAAAAAGTAACTCGTTGACAGTAAATCCATTTTGGAATTAAATATTCAAATTAGTACAAAAGTCAGTGGTTTGAGTAACTACTTCGTGTAATATTAGCAGAAGGTTATTATAATTTGAAGATCTAAAATTTTTGATATTATGGAAAAGGTAAAGACAAATTTTTGAACGAAAACTGAACGAATAACGAAAGTCAATAATTATATCACTTATTTTTATGCTTGTGTTTCTTATTTTTTATAACGTATCTGATAAAAATTGTTTTTCTCCGTAATTCAATAAATAATATTACCTTGTGATTTTGTAACATACATTTTGTTATTGCATCGTATGTAAGCACCAAAAATATTCAAAATTGAAGTCTGACATATTTTGTGTTTATTGTATTGTACTAAAGATATGCTCATTTATTGGAGTAGTTTTATATTCGAAAGATAAAGATACGTTATTATTTTTCTAATTTCACTATGTTGTTCGTGAAGATATAACGAATTAACATGTTCCTGAAATTTTTACGAGGACAATTTTTACAAAATAACATATATATTGTTAGGTGTATGAATGCGTAATCCACTATTCCTTATTAAGCCTATATATTTTTTAAACCTTTAATCGGGTAAACTAGGGTAATATGTTGAATAGTAGTAACGAATGTTATTTATAGTCCATAGGGCTCTGTAAAATGCAATAAAAGATTAAACATTCGGTTTCAGTATATGCAACCAATTTTCTTTTACAATCGCATATTTACCACGGTTCTATGTTAAATTAAATCGATTTCGAAGATTATTGGGGGCGATTAATCCAGGGTTCGGTGCATCCTGTGCCGCACAGACGTTTCGTAAAATTCCAAAGTGACGAGGATACCTTGACACGCGATTGGAAACAAGGTGACTTGTCACAACCAATCACGTGGGAGGCATTAAACTGATGCATTAATGCAAGACTGACCTTGATTCTACATAATCCTCGATCGTGGGCGAATGCAGAAGCGCGGTTTCGCTTTTTCTATTGTTACATGAATCCCTGTCATGAAAATGTTGAACCGTTCGGCTCGGATTACCAGGCCCACGTTTAAAAACGAACGAACGGAGGAATCGTTCGGTAAACATTTAATTCGCGAACACAATCGGGCATCGCTGAAATATATAGTTGCGCGGTGCTACCTCGAACGATTCCACGGAACGCCGAAACCCAGCAGTGACGGTAATAAAGTAGACGAAAAAAAAACGAAGATTTCGATGTTGTTTCGCGATGATGTAACTGCTTTCTCTCGAATATTTTTAGTCACTCCGTATGACTCGCGCGGTGAGTTCATTGAAGATGAAATTAAGGAACGATGAAGATGAAATCATAACAATTTCTCTGAACGTATTCTGTACAATGTATTGTAAAAATAATAATAATAATCATGAAAAAATGATTAAAATAATCTGAAGTCTCTCGCTTTAACATTATACAATACTACATTATTTATCATGAAAATCTTACGTTTATTTATTATTTACTACAAGTTATATTTAAAGAAAAATTTCCCCAACACCCGATAGTATAGCGCGCTAGGGGGTGATGCCTCGAGCAGGATCGTTTCGACGTGCCGGTAAGGTTAACGCCCCAAATCTCTATATTCGACTCACAATAAACAGCGGAGCACCTGAATAACCAACGTGAATAACCGACGAAACATAAACGGTTCTTCTTCTACTTTTTTAATACGAGAAATGTTTTGCAACGTGTTCGAATCACGTGTGGCAAAAAGACCGAGCGAAAGGATGAACGACGAAGAAAGAACTGGCGTGTGTACGTACACATTGTTAGACGGGGCTTCCTCGAAAAAGCTGGACTCTGGTCGTTCCTCGAGTCTTCGTTGACACAAGCAGAACGACTTTCATCCCGCGGAGCGAATGCTGGGAACCACGGTGCTCATTCTACCTACACTTTCACATTATTCAAATAGACAACGTCCTTCGGGATGCAATGGCGTAACCCATTCCTAATTAACACACCCTCCTTCGCGGAACTTAAGCTGGAATTGGACGTAATTTTATTCGAATAATACATAGTGACAACCTCGAGTGTCTAGGGGCGTAATTTTGACCTTTAAATGGTTAAGGAAATTAAATAATTGTTTGTCGAGCGTTTACTCATTCAAGAAGTAATATTATTTTATTATCAAAATTAGAATTCTCACGTTTAAGGAATTGAAAGTTACAAAGTACTTTTCTTTTTGGTTCGTTATTGTCTGAACTTAAAATAGCGCAATATTCTTCTCTTTGTAACCTAAACTTTAGGTTACCCCTGAATATTTCGCTCATTTCCTCTGGGACCATATTCTGAGAAAATAGAAACGCATTTTTTTTAGGGAAGCAACTTTTTTCTTCATTCGTTAGGTAGGGTCGTATCAGCTAATAAAAAAAGTAATACTACATTGCTCGAAACAATTAGAGGATCACATGCTACAGCTGCTGTGTCCCATCAATGGCATCAATAAGTCCTGTAAAGGTTTTTTATAAAAATAAACATAGGTATTAATACCCTACGAAAAGATGTCAATTCAACAAAGTATAGTATTTATTTCATTTCGTTCACTTGGTTAACGCATCAAAACTTTCCACAGTAGCGATCCTGTAATTATTTGAGTAGTGTATGTGGACGTCGAGCTTGCAATACGATTTATTGACATATCCAGTCCTATGGAATCAAGATCTTTACAGATATAGTCTGTCGTCCATTTCAGCCTTGTCCGAAATTCATAATTTATATTTATATTCCTGTAACACTGAATTATTTTTTAAAAATCGTTTCTATTAAATTTCAACCAATCAAAAGTTTAATTGCTACAGTGTCGATTTTGAAATGTGTGATTTATTATACATAAGGTTTTCTATATTCAGGTGATAATGATGAATAATTTTCGTATATCTCTAACGAGCAGAATCCGATATCTGGTCAGTTCGTAAAATGGCTGACCTCTTCTTCCATTGGCTGGTGATATTAGCCAAAATCCGAATGTGAAGAGTATATTAAGCATATGCTTTATCTTTCTAACTTTGGCTACCCAATTCTAGTAATGGCGAGGCACAATTAGCCAATATAAAAAGTCACTGGTGCGAATAATATAATTTTGATATATTTTCAAAAACATTGGACGAATACATTTAACTTCGATAATCGAAATTTTATAACGATTTCTATACGATTTTTCATCACGAATCTATAAAAATCAACGAACATTCTTTAATCTGTGATATCTTTTCGTCTCTTTCAGATCTGCAAGGATTCACAGAAATGCGATTGTACGGGCATAAAAGGTGTTCCTGGCTTTACCGGAATCCCTGGACCACAGGGACCGGAAGGTCTGCCGGGTGACATCGGCCCAGATGGTCCAGACGGTCCAAAGGGTGAGAAAGGAGCTGGTGGCGAGTATGGCGGCACCGGAGAAAAGGGTTACAGGGTAAGTGAGCAATTTCATCCAAGAATAGCCACTTAAAATTTTATTCTTAAATTTTTACCGTAAATTGAAATCTGTCTTCCTACCATTCAGTGGTGTGCAACGTTTTTCTTTTGATATATTATGCGTACAAATGAGTAATTTGTTGTTGTAATCAAATTTTGGTAATTATTGATCACTTTGTGTCATCCTTGAGATCGATGAAAAGGGTATAGCATATTTAACGACAATGGCGATTATTAGTAAAGGAATATTGATTTTTGATCTTCTTGGAAAAAAATACATAGTGAATTTTGGTAAAGAATAAAGAGTTACTCATTGGTGTAGCTAATATAATTTCAAAGTATTAATTGCTTTAACAACCGTTAGATTCAATGATAGAGGTCTGTGAATTATTAAATTCAACGGAATCTTTACATTTTTGCTATTTCTCTGTGGAAATATTTGGAAGTTATATTGAAAAAGTTATTTCTTATATATTTATTACTAATTTGAATGTTTTATGAGGTCATAGACTAGAAACGTTAACTGAGAAAATTAAGACAAACAGTTTTTCTCTTATCTATAACTTTTTGTACATTTTATCACGATTGTTTCTAGTTTTGTAGAGTATCCTTACTATTCTCGTGAATTTATTTCAAATTTTATTCCAATTGAATGTTTTTAAATCAATAATTAATGAAAGACACAAAGCTTTGATTCAAACATGTAATATTGCATTCATTCGTTTTTCGAAAACAAATACTAAAAGTTATCGTTTATTGTTCCTTTGATACCTAGTTGAGTTTCAATAATTCGCACACCTCTGTGTATAAAACAGAACGTGGATTAATTTTATGATTGTTCGAAACCGTACATATCTGAATGGTATCTTCCTAAAATACATTATTCCAATTACTGTTCATAAAAGCTTTTAAAAATAAATAACGATGATTATCAGCTTCAACATTACACAATTAATTTAAATTCGTTTCACGACTATCCAACCGTATATATTTTTATTGATAATACAAACGATATAAATTCTGCAACTAACGATATAAATTTCTACAACTGCGTTAGGAATATTTTATTTTTACTATTCATTCGATTACATTTCTACCATCCGAAAAGGGCGAACGATGACACGGCGCAGGGACAATTTTTAGTCACTGACGCAACTATACCATAAAATCGTTAACGACGAGCGCAGACGATTTTTTTTCATTACTATGAATCAATTTCAACATCGTGGGTGTAGTAACAGAATGTAAAATATGTCAGTGTTACGCAAATAGATAGTGTGGCAGATGTCTCTTAATTGGTTTCGCACTTAAACGCCATTTTGGTTAACATCCTCTAATATAACATGTTTATAGTTCTACGTATTCTCGTAAATATCATTAAAGATTAAAATTATTGTTTGTATTAAAACATTCAGTCAACACAAGGTCATGTTTATCAATATGATTTATATTAAAGTTTCTTAACAATAAAATCATTCTCCATGAGAATCACTTTCTATCTGCACTCAAAGGAACCAATACAACTGCACACAAAAGATGGACACAATATGAAAAAGATATGAAATTGTAGATAGAATTTATATTTCTACAAAGAGGCCTTCATGAATATTAATAAATGCCTAGCAGATTTTTTATTTTCAATTCAGCATTACTAATTAAAGTATTAAAACTATAATAAAATATGTGGCACTGCTTAACAAAAAATAGAAGGCTGAGATTATAGAAGACTTAAAACAAGTCAATACATATGATATTAAAACGTAAGGAAAGATTTATAAACAGTCAGAACTTGACCACAAGTCTTTAACACTTTAACCCTTATATAGGCAACCGTGTACCCAGGAACTCATTTCTGAATTTGCTTTCACAATTTTGTATGTTCTTGTTTAAAACAGCACTGGGTATATTATAGGAAGGGAAAACTAAAAGTTTCGAAAAAGTATGAGAGTAGAAATGTCTATGTTTATCTAATCTGTCAGAATTTTAGTTGCCCACACAAAATCTTGTAAATAGACCAGAGTTTTTTAAACTATGTTTATAAGTAATAATTATCCAGGAACAAGGTTCTTTCGTTGGAAATTTCATGAGAATAAAGAATAAAATAAAATCTCCTCCAACTAAGAATAAAGTGGTTAGTCTGCTTCTGCCCGTAACCGAGGCGGACCAATCGGTATGGCGTGACGCGGTCCCTGCGTGGACCATTCGGTCCACTAACGACTATACCACAATTCGTGTTTCTTTTCTTCATCTTCTCGATGCAATTATTCGACGATAACGTGTACGCGTCCGAAGAGAAGAATAAAAAAAAAACAAAGAACCATGGCATGGCGTCACCGGGCAGAAACGTTTCCAAATGCGGAGGAAGACGAACAGCGGTCGAGAGAAGTGGGAATTGTCGGCGGACTCCCACGAAGCCCGCCCGCACTCTGTATTCTCGCACAGAAGTGCCGCGAATCCGTTCTTTCGCAACACGTCCCCAAACCCTCGCCGATACGAGGTGACATGACGCGTTGTGACATGAAGATGATAGTCTTCGATAGATGATTTCGTAGCTATTCTCCACCCAGCGATCGAAGCTTTGCTTCGTCTGTATTTATAATACGAACCCTTCATTTCCCAAAGTGACGAACTCCATGAAAATTATCAAAGAAAATTTATTTTAAATATAAAAGGTTAAAAGGAAGGAAAAAATGAAGTTACTTTGCCTTTAATAATAACTTCCTGGGGCTTATAAATTAGATGTACACGATACTACTTCGAAGGAACAATGAAAATTGTTTCCGGTCTCTTTCAGTCTTAACACTCGATTTCTTAACTTTTCGATTACCACTGCGTTTTTTCCATCTGTTATTTACTCTTTGGTATTATAGTTAGTACCTTTCATTCTCTTTGCTATTTCTGTGTTAAAATATTACCTCTCTTCTTAAGAATAAAGTATTCCGTCAATTATTTTTCTCTTCAATTACATTTTTTCCCTTTCTGCACCGAAATGTTACCTCTCAAATGTTACCTCTCCACTTAAAAATGGAGTCGTAAATTAAATTTTGTTCCAATTACAATTTTTTAATTACCAATATACTTTCTGCAAAGTGCTCCAGCAATCATCCATATATTATTTGTTAATACTTTCCATCTCAACTTTTCATTTCCGCGCCGAAATATTGTACCTTTCCTTATTTAAGAAATCTATCCCTCTATATTTAATTTCGTTCTCAATTACAAATTTCCAATCACCATTACGATTTCTACGACCTGTTCCACCAACGCACGTCCAATTCTCGTAGAGCCATGCAAAATGGTACATACAATCTCCTCCTATATCATTTTTATCGAGTGTACAACCGGGACAGTGGTAACGCACGCGAACGACTCGCCAGTTAAAATGCGACACTTTCGAATGCAAGATTGCATAAAAGCTAAACGAGGTTACCAGGAGTACAGAGGATGCAGTAACGAGGTGATAAGAAATTTTATCGAAACGATGCGAAACGATGTTAAGAGCTCCGACGCTTGACGATTGCGCGCGCTCGGTCGGTCACCTCCCTTAATGAACGTCTATCAGTTCGCAGTGCCAGATAAGAGTTTACGAGGGCTTTTTTTCTGTTTCGTTCTTTCTCCTGCATCTTCATCTTCTTTTTTTCTTTTTTCTGTTACGACACTTACGGATTGCATCTTTATATCAGGACGCCAGCCTGGGTCCAAACGAGTTGTGGGCATGACGTCATAACCCTTTCTGGTACCGCTGCACCGAGCGACCTTTTGAAACTCGCTGCGGCGTTGCCGGTACATATACACACACACACACACACACCCGATTTTCTTCAAGCACCGGACTTTTTTCCTCAGTTTTTAAAGCACAACGAATGGCGGTTCAATTAAACGTGACAGCGATCATGAATCTCGCTGACGATTTTTTTTCTTTGTTCACGGTGTTTAACACGTCTACTGCTGCCGTTTGTTTCCCGTGCTTCCTTCACAAACCGTAATGCATTTTTGTGATATTTTATTCAATACGATCTATTCAATCTTTATGGAATATTCGGAAATGTAACGATTTAGTCCCGTATTGTGCCATATATTACGATGTTTTTGATGCCAAATATAAAATTGTTATTTTTACATGATATTATTGATATGTATAATGGAATCAAGTTTTAAGTGATAATTGGGCTTAGTGTCACGAATTTTATAGAGTTGTTGATGCAATGAAAGAACAAAAATATTTTCATAAATTTAAGTGTGGTAGACATTAATATTGATTTAAGGCATTTCATACGCGATACCAATATGGCCGCCATTCGAAGGCTGTTTTTTTGACAATTTAAACAATTAAAGCCGTATTAACTTCAGATGGTTTGAAATTTTATATAATTTACTGTTTAATTTTACGTTAGTCGTAATATATATTTTAATATAATTTGGAAGGAACCACAAAGCAAATAACTTTGTGGATCACCCTTTGTTTGACTTTCATTTTACTGAATTTAATATACAGTAGTAATGCATTCATTCTAATATAATTCCATTTTGCGCAGATTCATTAGACACATTAGATAGATAATAAAATTTCTTGTGCAAAAACTAATTGAATGTGTCAAATAAATTGATTTTGGGTCTCCAGTACCTCGCGCCATTTTTGTCAAACACTAGTGCTTAGAGATAACATAACATTGAATTATATCACAATCTTAACAAAAATATAAATTCTTCAATAGTAGGTACATTGAATAACTATAGTGTAGGAATAAGCAACATCTTTGCGTGACGTTTCACCGTAAATCGTCGAGGCAATGACCAGATTGTCCGCCATGACATCAACTTTACGATCCTGGATCCGCATGGGATTCAAAGATCCACGATGATCACGTCGACATCGAACTCAATGGAATTGTACATACAACCGGACAAGTACTCGGTATTTCTCAAAGAAATTGAAAAAATTCAACCGGATATCCATTTTTCATTGTTATTTTTCTTCCTCCCGCTCTATCGTCGCGC